TATGAGTCTCGTAAAATGCAACTAACGGTGGCGGTGGCGGAGGCATCGAAGTCAGTCCGTTGTTTGGCAAATGCAGATATACTTACATATGCATGTATGTGTGTGTGTGCAGCGGGAGTGTAAGGGGGTTGACTGCTCGCTTACTCGCCTGCTTGCCTACAAGACGTCGGCTATGACTGAGGCACGGCTGAGACTGCGGCAGGCGCGTTGCCATTGTATTTGCGGGATAAATGTGACAAGTGGTGATTGTGTGGGGTAGCGCGGGTGTAAGGACAAACCTTTGCTGGTTGAGTAATTGCAAGCGCTTTCGGAGTGTGCGTACGTGTGTGTGTGTGTGTTGCTCGCATGGATGCTGCTTTAGGGTTAGCACTGTCTATAGACTTTACAAACACACACACATTAGAGGCAGCGTTAGATGTACATGTGTGTGTGTGTGTGTGTGTGTGTATGTCCGCGCATACATACATTTGTAAGTCAATTTGTGTGTAGCTGCAATGCACAAATATTAGAAAATCTTCTACAGACACAGGCAGACAGGGAGTGGACTTGTAGTTGTTGCGATTTAATTAAAAAATGCAATTAGAGTGCTTTTCTGGCAACATTGCAAACACTTAAATGTGAACTTTAAACTTGATTTTGCCGCTGCGGCAAGCTTTTTCTGCGTGTACTAAATAAATTTTGGTATAAAAATAATTTTTAAACAAAAAAATATATTTCTTAACACACTCAGCCAATATATGTGGCTGGTGTTTCAACCGTTATTATTATTTTGCACAATTTTTATTTAATTTGCATATTTGGTTACACTTTTCATTATATATATTTCTTTTTAATTTATAGACACACACTACATTTTATTTCATCTTCGATTATATTTAATGATAATTTTGTGCTTTGCATTCGCAAAACTTTTATGGATACATAATTTTCGCCCCACAAATGCACTCAGCGCGGCTACAGCAAGCAGAAAACTATGAACTATATTCGTATAAGCTTGTAGTGTAGCTGGAAAAGCATAAATTTACAGCCATTGCTGGCTTTTTTTTCCGAACACTTACTTTTCCTCCAAACACATACGATTTTATTTTTTCAATTTTTTCAATCACATATTCGCCATTTATGCATATTTAATTCATAATTATTTATTTTTCTTTCTTGTTAGTTAATGAAATGTAGTGAATTTTTCCAACAATCACTTTGCTTTGTATCCGACGGTCGATTTCAAACGGCTACCGTAACGCATGAACCACACATTCTGAGCATCGAACTAAGTATGAAATTTTTTTTCTTTTAACCCGGTCACACCCTCTATCGCTGGGCATACGAACGCTCAGCTTTGAGTATTCGTGGATTTTATGTACAAATTGTGGGATATTACGAGCATAAATATACGGAACAGGAATCAGGACTCAAAGCATGCTGTGCAAATGGGAATTCAGAGAGAGAGAGAGAGAGAGAGAGAAAAAGAGTGAGAGTAGCGAACGAGTACTATATTTAACAGTTTCGCGGCGAATATTTTGTGAGAGACAGGATTCGAAGCACAAACTATGTAATTTACAGCAAAGCACTTGGTGAGTATCCTGATTTCGCTCAAAAGGAAACAAGTGCAAAATAGGGCTTATTATAAATTATTTATATATAGTTCCCTTTAAGGGTGATACACTGATTATACCGACCCGCCAACATTGCCACTTCATTTTTGAAGCCCTCAGTTTCGATGATCACCGATTCATTTTTTTCCCTACGAACATTCTTTTGCGGATATGAGAAGAAGTATTAGTTCTTCGGGTGCAGAACTGAACAATGCGATGGATGCAGGAGAAATTCGGAGCAAAATTCATGGGTTTTTGCCTTCGTTTTCACTAACTTGAGACACGGTGCATTGCCTTGGTCAAACAGCACTTTCAGTTTCTTCAAATGCAGCCGTTTTTCAGCGATTTCGATCCGCTGACGCTGTTGTCAATAAAAATTATTAATTGAGTATACCAAAATATGGATGCCGTAACCTTACCAATCGACTCTTTCCACCCTTGAGATCTCCAAACACTGGTCCGAATCATCAACTCGTCGTTGATATTTATCAAAAGTGAGCTCGCGCGGCACCCACATTGCAAAGAGCTTTCTCATACACAAACATTCGTGAATAATATGATGTAGACGCTTAGTTGATATCTTTAGAGTGCCTACTATCTCCAACAACTTCACTTTACGGTCATCCAACTTTATTTTGTGAACTCTTTTGACGTTTTCGTCGGTAATAATCTGTTTTAGGCGACCACTGCGTTCATCGCCTTCCTCGTAAATCCAAGTTTTGCTTCAACAAGAGTTTTTTTTGCCCTTAAGAACACTATATTTTATCAGCACGTGCAATTCCTTTTTTATAAGTTTTTTCAGAATAACAAATGATCCGACAGCAGTCAAATTACACACTCGGCTTTAAAAGGTTAGGCTTGTCTAAAAATCTAATGAATTTAATTGTAGTAGCGTCATCTATGTGTCTAAAGACCGGGGATTTTGCAATTGACCTGTTAGGTATTTAATTTTGAAACTATATGATTTTTCAAAAAGTTTTTCAAACATCAATTGAATGTGGAGATCAAACTTTCCAACGAACATAAAAAAGTTTAGAAAATTGTCTGGAAAGAGTTGGTAAAGTTCGCTGAACGACCACTTGCTCATTTTGTGCATGTATAACTTCAAATTGCAATAACGGTGTAATGCCTATTTGTCTTCAGTTTCAATAACTTGGCTTAGTGAAGTCTACAGTACGCCTTTCCGGCGTTCCTTTCTCGAAGTTCTTCTTTGATGTATAGATCCAACCGTCACTTTCCGAGCCAAATCATCGGTGATCTTCTGTTCAGGGGTGCATAAGAGAAGAAACGCGGGAAGGTCAGAAGGCGGGAAGGTCGCCTATATCTATAACTTTTCGATAGGCAATCAACTTTTTCATTCTAGTTGAATTCTTCCCTAGTTGAATGAAGAAGTTGATTATTTGTCAATGTTTAAACTAATTGCTTTTCCGAACGATTTTTTTGAAAATTTTTCGGTGTTCATTAAATCCAGTCTGCAGAATACCGAACACCAAATCAGTACATAATTTTCTTTCAAACATTGCGGTTTTCAAGCACCAGCTAGAAACTAACACGAAAAATTCAAACCGACAACGCCGCAATCACTGTACATCTACACCCTCTGTACAATCTCTGCTGCTCTCTTATCAAGTTTTATCAATTCGCCGCATTGCTTCAAAATAATTGTTTGCAGTTTTTGTATTTTTAAGCCATTGTAATCGTGCGGCTTCTCTCTCATAAAGCGAATGCTTTGTTCATTGATGACAGGAAGGAAACTTTGGCAATGCCGGAAGTAATGTGTTCCCCTTTCAAAGGAACGCTTTGAAGTCATATTAATATGCTACTTGGGCTGACCTCAAAAGTGATGCAATTAAGAGTTGCTGCTACCGTTATTTAGCTTACTACGTGTTAGCCAAGTATTGAATTTATACTTGAATTTAATAAGCATGTAGACGAGTGATATATTTGGAGAACTAATATTACACCGGGTAGAATATTAAAAATTATAGATTGAAGAAAGATTATAGATTGAATAGTGTGCTGATACTGTAACTCCCAATCGTACTCAATTTTGGTTTCGTCGGTTCTGTTCAGACAATTTTGATACCAAAGATATCCCGGACTCTGTAGGAAAGCTATGGTCGTAAATATCGATGAAATAATAGAAATCGTCGCATCCAAGAAACCTCTTGAACGAAATTTATGAAGCGGATAAATGCTGATTTGAAAAGTGACAAAGGCTTTGCAATGTGTGTGTGGGATTTTCAGGGCATCATCTACTTTGAAGCTCTGCTGTCATCAATTGTCTGAACGAAGCGGTCAACTTTTGTTACAATAAAATTGGCCATGTTGAATTTCATGCGGAAATAAAAGATTTATTTTTACTAGCTCAGTGCTTAGACCCCTAGGATCTGAGAAATAAAGAATCGCTGAGGCCAGATCCAGAAAGTATGATTCGTAAGATATCCAAATTCATTAAATTTAATAATTTCTAATAAAACAAAATGTTCCATTCATGACATATGTATATAATACTGAAGTAATTTCGAGGAACTAACTGACGTTTGAACGGGTATATAAAATAGCCATTGTCAATGGATTTTCCCTTTCCAATATAGATCAAAACTATTGTATAAACATCTCATCTCAAAATTTAGACGCTATAACTTTTCCAACTAACTATTCATCTCGGCAAACCGACGTACAGTCGACTTGCGCGCTTACCGATTGAACTCCGGAAGCGTATAATGCAGGCATGCCTTCCTTGCCTTGTATGAGGAATTTGTAGCATTACTTTGGCCGCTATATTTAGTAGTCCGATATCCTCGGTTCCAAAAGCTTTTTGTATAGGAAAGCGCGTGTTCAAAATTTTAGATATATACCTCAAAATCTGAGGAACGTTCACGTATACAGACAGAAGGACGTAGCTACATCGACTTCGATCGTCATTCACTGGATTCTTTATACATATAGCTATATATTTGTAGGGATCCCGACGTTTGTGGCGAACTTAATACAGATTCAGGTTATAAAACTATAATTCTATTTATAAATGTCAAATAGCATTCATAAAGACAATTTAGAAAATATTACACAATTTCCTAGAAGGAGTTACAAATAACCTTGTGAAATACGACAGAACAAGTAAAAATACTTTCCATTCTATGATCACTACCGTAATATTAATGTATTAGTTATTTATTTAAAACAAAAAAAAAACAAATCCAACCATTATAGAAGGTTATTGATATAAATAAATAAAATATATACTATTATATATTCTTATAAACAAAATATATATTTTTCACTTTAAAAGCATACAATTCGTTTTTAGTTTTGGCAACCCTGTGCAATTGATAAGAGATTGGGCACAGCTGATTGCTCTGAAAATTACAGTTGTCAAACCAATTTGACTTTACATTTGTTCTCAGCATTAATCGTGAGTGAGTTTTAATTTATTTGTGTTTAGAAAAGTAGTGAATAGTAAATTGCCAAAAATGCACTGAAAAATAAAATTGCAACAAAGTGTATGACCGATTAAATAGGCCAAAGACCAAAAGAAAACAAACAAATTTATAAAATTCCAGTTTGCGGCGGAGTTCAATGTAAACGCTAGACGTATCGGTTAGTAGCAACGATGTCGGTAAAGTCACAACGCAAAGCCGTTGCTACCGAGGCAATGGGGAATGCGACCGGTGAAGGAGTTTCCCATGAAAACCCCAATTATGGTTTAACTACGCGTGTTGCATTATCACGTCTGCATGATGATATTGAAAAATTGTTGCGTGAGCACGAGGCCACCTACGCCAAGGAGAGGTAAGTGCAAAAAGAACATTGCTAGACTTTCGCGTAACTGTTTGTGTAAACATACATATATACGTATGTATGTATGTGGTTGCGACTGTTTGCATACTTAATTATTAATAATATTTGGACAATTTCCAAATTTTCGTGTTGTTGTTTATTGCAGCTACTATCGCAAACTGCGTTCGGCATTCTTCAAACCAAGCGACACACCATTGGGATGGCCTGCAATCACAGCAACGTTATTCACAATGATTGCGTTGCTTATTGCTGAGGCATATCTGGCGGCGATCTGTGTTGCGGCTATCTTATCATTGGATTTGTGCGTGGTGGTGCGCGAAAATCATTTACGTCGCACCGAAATCTACCGCAAGACACGCCAGGCACTCGCCGATATACGACTCGCTGAACGTGATCTATGTGGCGAGTGGCAACCATGCAATTATCCGCATCTGTGTTGTCCAGTTTCACCTTGTGTGTCGCTGCAGTGGACATATCGCGATGGTAATATTGTGAATTTACCGTGGGCCTTATTGGTACGCGGTGATCACATTGTACTACGACCGGGACACATAACGCCCGGTCCGTGTACGGAAGTGAATGGAAAGCGCACATTTGAAATGCATGAAATATATGGCCCAACACAGGTGAATGATCCGCCAGTGCGTCCTTTAGCGCGTGCTCCACTACCAGATTTAGTATGCACATTGCAGACGACGCCGTTTCTGGATAATTTACGTGTGATTTTGGAAAACTCATTGAAGCGCCCATCGACGATATACAATCAGCAACGTTATTTGGTGGGTAGTCTAGTGTTCTATTGGAATGGTTGCTTGTCCACTGAAGTGCTAATTAAATTATGACGTATGTGAAGAATTCTATAAGTGTGCAATTATAGTAATTCTTTATAAGAAGAAGTTATTTTTAATCAGTTTAGTCCACATTTCGTGTTTAACTAATTCAATTCACTGTTTCAATATTATTTTTAAAATGTTTTTTTTTGTTTTTTATTTCAAATATTATTTTTTTTAGTTTAAACCACATCCTAAAATGTATTAACTCAAATTATTTCTTCATCCATAGCTGGTAACGAAATACATACAACAATGGGGTTTCATATGTGCACTTTGTTTGACGCTTTTCGCCGGCATGTTGCGTATCAATGGCTTGAGCAGTTCACCAAATGTCGGCACACATCCAAATGAGCAACATTATTGGAAATATGTTTTCCTGGAGACACCAGCCGCTGCAGTTATACCATTACTGCCACTCATCTTCCCCATCATGTGGATATCGATGAATCTATGGGGTGTGGCAAGACTACAGTGCTTTCTCAAAATACCACAAGTGCTCATCACTAAAGACTCGGAAAAATCCTTCGAAGAAGACTTGGATGCGCCCACTTTTGATTACAACAATATATCATTGTTGCGTTCAAATGTTTTTCGAAATTGGTGGCAACTGTGGCATGGTGATAGTGAACTACTACCTCGTTCATCGAATTTAGTGCAGGTATTGGGCTCCATAACAGCTTTGTGCTGCATAGACAAGAAAGGCATACTTTCATGGCCAAATCCAACAGCTGAGAAGGTATTCTTCTTACACGATACCGACAATGATCACTTAGACGATCGCAGCACAAGTTGTTCAACGCTGAATACCGAAAGTAATCATACGAGTCAGGCGGAGAGTAAAAACGGTGGTATTGTTGCTGAAGTGCTCGATCTAACACACGATCAACACTGTCCATTTCGTTTGGAGTTCGACGATCATGAGTGGAAATCGCATATCACATCACTTAAACCATTGGGTGCGTTATGAATTTAAAATTATTTACCACGAAGTTTTTAATACCCAGAAGAAAACGTTGAAGACCCTAAAAAGTAGATATATATATATGTGTATATATATATCTAGATGATTAGGGTAACGAGCTGAATCGTTTTAGCTATGTCCGTCTGTCTGTTTCGAGATATCGAACTGAAATTTTGCACATGTCTTTTTATCACCAAGAAGCCGCTCATTTGTCGCAACCACCGATATCGGGTCGCTATAGATATTGCTGTCATACAAGCTGACCGATCAAAATTAAGCTTTTGTGTCCAACACATATTTTTTAACAAGATATCTTGACAAAATTTAGCACGCACTATTTTCCAAGTCAGCTCTATAATCTCCAAAGAAATTGTTCAGATCGGACCACTATAGCATATTGCTATCATACAAACTGATCGATCAAAATCCAGTCGTTATGTGGAAAACTTTTTTATTGGACTAGAAATCTGCACTAAATGTGGCATGGGTTATTGTCCAAGGCAGCGCTACAATCTCTCAACAAATTGATTCAAATTGACCAATCGAAATTAGGTTTCTATATAGAAACTTTTTTATATGTGAAGGGTATTATAGCATCGGTGCAACGTTGTTTCTTGTCATATCTTATTATCAAAAAAATTCCCATTTTAGGTCTCGCAATACTGTTGAATACTTGTTCGCCGTTGACGCATGCACATTACGCGCAATTCTGTGGCCATGTAACCGCCGTGGCGATGCTGGATAAAGATTTGGTGCCAGTCACAAATCGGTATGCCCACGTTGACTCCAGTTTGACTAGCTTTTTGCATGGGTACGTAGTTCATTTTCGAAGCTTGCCTTTTCTCTTTTTGATTTCAACGTTTTTGGGTTTCTACTATTTTCCAAATACATATATATCTTTTTTCCTATATTTATAATCTTAAACCAATTTAATTCTAAATTCTTTTTTCCATAAACTTAAATTTTCAATTTTCCCGATTAAAATTTTTGTATTTTGCACAAATATGAAGCGAACAATTTTGTAAAACCATCAGTTTTAAAGTAAATAAAAGAAAAAAGAAAATCAAGCGCCAAATTCCAAATTAACAAAAACAAATATTGTATGTAGATTATCTATTGAAATAAGGCAAACTCAGCAGAAAGCGTGCTACGTACTGCTACTGAAGCGCCAACATAAACTGATTTATGCACAAAAATGCCAAATTTTATTGCGCATTTGACCGAATTGTTGAAATTCATGTAAGATGCGAAGCTATTTTCCACAGCATTACACTAACGCACTTACCCACAACAACTAAAACAGCAACAAAACTCAATCCAATTCGGTTTTTTGCATTATTTTCGCCATTTAATTCTTTTCGCCGCTATTTACTCATACTTTTTTAATGCAAATTTGTTTTTATTAACGGAACAAAAAAACTTTTGTACTCATACAAAAAGCTACGCTGACGCATTTAACGCAACAAATAAATAACAGGTTTAATTGCACTGAATGAAATATGTATAGTATGTTTTTCTCATGTTTTATATTCGCTTTACTTTTCCAAATTGTTAATTAAAAAATCGTTCGGCATGTTTTTTTTTTCAAAATTTTTAAAAATCTTTAATTGTTGTGAAATTTCTTACGTAATTAACTGCTCCGTGAAAACTCATATTTTATTGTAATAATCATTATTTATTTTATTTTATATATGTCTGTGTATGTAAACACTTTATTTCATGTCGCACACTCATATTTGTCATTGTAGTAATTTTCGCCATTTTAATTATTTGTTTAAATAATTTGCTTATTATTATTTAACTTTTATGAAAAGAATTTGAATTAATATAAAAAAAAGGTTACTTATTTTCTTTATTATATTTAAAAAATCAATACTCTCGATTTTAAATACATTGTAATAGCGTTACTTTCCCCTTTCATAGGGGTTATGGTGTAGGTAACAGAAAAAAACCGTATCTATCCATTTCTTTAGCTTTTCTAAAAAAAACTATTTTACAACAAAACTAGTTAATTATCACATCATTTGTTTAAGAGGTTATAGCCATTTGTGAATTTCGAAAAATCGAGAATTGACTTTTTTATATATGTATATGTACATAGTATATTAGGGAATATTATCTATATAAGTTCGGTTGCACCATAGCCCTTTACAAATATCAAAGACATGTTCCCTCGACAGTCGGGTCTATGTAACCGGAGCGAATTCGGGTTTTTATCAGATCAAGGACTGTCAACTTAGCAGAATTCTTCCGCTACAACAACAACAAATACCAAAGATTCCTTACAAGAACTAAATCGATCGTTCAGTTAGTGTGGTCGCTACCATATATACAATTGACTTTCATAGACTTTGAACAATAATCCATCCGAAATTTCGAAGATATCTCGTCAAATGAAAATCAGTTTGTTATTTGCTTATTGGTCCGATCTAAGCAATTGCTTCGGAGATTGCACAATGGTGTTAAACAATAAACCATGTGCATTCCCACGATAATCGGCTCTAAGTAACCGGAACGGACCCGGATTATTATCCGGTCAAAGGTTGTCAACTCGGACCATTCCTCGAAATAACTTCAGCTACGCTTTTTATTGCCACAACAACAAGTTGACACGTTTTTCCTACAAGCACTTCACTTCAGATCCATATCTAAACTGGCGGACGGACGGATAGACGGATATGATAAAATCGACTCAGGTTATCAAGCGAATCATTTATATATATATATATATATATATATTTTATAGGGTCTCCGAAGCTTTCTTCTGGTTGTTACAAACTTCACTGCAAACTTAATAAGGGGGACTCCACAAAAGTAGAACGAAAGGGCAGCAAACCACGCGATATTTTTTGCCGCTCTTTTGGCTTTTCTCTTCAGTAAGGTTTGCAATTTCATCATGGAAAGATATACGATCTCACAACGAGTCGAAATTGTGAAAATTTAGTACCGAAATTCGGAGTCAGTGGACTTTTTAGCAATAATTTTAAATATTTTTAGCCCGAATTGGATGATATGTACTTCGAACAGGAATAGGTTCCAACAGGACGGGGCCACAAGCCACAAACCACACCCGATTACCAAAAGAAATTGAATTCCATACATAATGACATCGAATCTACTTTCACATGAGAATTACTTACTTACTTTTGTAGCGCTCTTATTGAAAAACCTCTTAAACCTGTTTTCTGACTTCCAAGTGTTTGTAACCCCTTATTTAGTTCTAGCGCTTTTCAAACATTTTTATTTTAAATTCTTATATCTGACACTCATTACAGTTGCCTACCGTTTATATACGGATATTTTTATTTCTTAACTAACATGCCAAGCAGCTCACTTGTATATGTATGTATGTATGAACACTAACATATTACCTATTCGTCAATCTTCTCTACAAAATCCATTTGTGATCATAGCTTCGTATTTAAGTCACCTATTATCTAAGTGTTTGTGTATTTACAAATTTTTCAACAAAGACATTGAACATTTTCTTATTATTTTTTGTATTTGAAAATTATTTGCACTTAGTTTTTACCGTTACTTATGTAAGCAGCGCATCATTGGCACATACCTACATACATAGAACATTTCTACATACGCAACATATTTAGCCCATATTTACTCGTATCCAACTACTACACTTTCAAAAAACAAAAACACAAATAATTTTACTAATTTTAAATTTTACTATTTGCAATGTGAAATTGTGTGCAGACGTTGCCTCTGCGAATTGGCCAAACAAATCGGTTTTAAAGATTCTGCTACCGATCATTTCTCACTCGAGGGTCAGTTGGCGTCCTACAGACATTTGGTGAGTAGTCAATAAGTTTTTGTATTGTTTCTGTGAAAACTATGATTTAAATAAATACACTTGTTTAAGAAATATAATAATATATTCACTTAACATGGCTTTGGAAATATTGACTTCGAAGTTCATTGAACGAATGTCAACTTGACTAACGATAATGTAAAAAGGGGACGTTTCTCCTCATTCCTTAACATTTTTATTAGCTTCTTCAGTAGTTTGTAACTCTTTTTAGTCTGTCTGTAACTTGTGTAAACATTTAAATACTGGTACTAGTACTGGTTCTTGGTGAAAAATATAAGCAAAAAATAGTAAGACTTTTTAATTTAAATTTAGCTCGAAAACCCATTTGTCGAAATATTTTCTCCTAGGTTGGTAAGACTATCAGTGACATCTGTGCCAAATGTCATATCAAAATAATCATTAGTGTTTAGTATACGCTTGTCTTTCTGAAGTACATAAAGTAGTTTTGGGATGATTGAATTATTATTATTGAATTATGCAAAGAAGAAGTTTCATTAAATTTTATGTGCCGTATCAAATATATACTGCCGATACGTTCAGAATATTGGAAAAGGCCTTCCGTGAGTCAGCATGTCTTCTGACGCATGCACAATTGTGTTGTGATTATTTCTTTGCCGATTATCTTCACCTTCTGCTTCAAAAAACGTTTTAGTAACGCCTAAGTTTTATTTCCTATAAACAATAACACTAGATTTTTAGTTCCACGTTTTTAAAATCAAAAATAAAATCTTTGTATATTAATTTTTGACAATATTTGGTCAATTGAGTAATTCACAATCTTAAATCTGATCTACCATATGTTGTTAGGTATAAGTGCAAGCCTTTCGGGCTCAATTAGCTCCAAAAGCGTCGTTTTGATATACTATTCGTAATATTTGGCCATATCTGTTTCGTTATTTTGCATTTGGTTGTAGATTTCCATCTGTTCTGAGCTTCTAATAGATTCTTTCTTTTTCGTTTTTAGCCGGCATAATTTCGCCTCCGCTTCTCTAGAGACCCGACTTCACCAAATCGTTTGCTTTTCGTTGCCGAAAATTCTCCTATAACTGGAAAACCATATTATAGACAAATCGAGTTGACCTGTCAGTCGCCTTAAAACTTTTTACATTTGTTGACCACGCTGGAGTTTATCTTTGACAACGAGAAGGCTAACAATACCGCTATATATGGCTATATGTGTGAAAGGTAGCTTTCTGTATTTTCTAGTTCTAGTTATTCAGTAGAACTCCATAGGCTATCTTTGTGTCTATTTATTCCGCTTGGAAAATGCTAACTGAGTTTGGTAGCGATATACCAATATCCCTGAAGTATGCTCGCTTTCCAACTCCGCAATTAATTTCGGATTAGTCGGTATTAATTGAGATAGTATTCTGTTCCTATATTAAACCTCTTCTCCATTCACATCTAGAGGATATTCTCATTTGGAAGTCCCTATTGAAAGCCAACCCAGGGAGAACATAGTCTGTTTAATTTAGATTTAATTTGAGTTCGTTCAGGATATCGCTATGTTCATAACTTTTCATATTCCCATTTTCTGTCTCCTTGATTCTTATAGCAAAAAATGTGCTACTTTGCGTATGAAAAAACTGCACTAGCTTAAGTCAAGAAGAGTGGTTGCCATTGAGATAGAAATTATAAGAAGAAGACCACGGAAAGGTTTGAAAAGTGTTTTTTTTTTTTTTTTAATTTGTATGCTCGATCAAAGCATGTTTGAAATAAGTGCACCTGATTTCATGAAGATATCATAAATAATTTTCTGTTTGAGTTTGTGGATTTTAATTTTGGGGATTTTGTGTTTGCGGGTTGATGGTGTCGAACCTTTTCCATTTATTAACGCTGTACAACATATTACGATTATTTGTAACAATAAATTTTCTGAAAAATCTTAGGATATAATTAACAAAATTTTTAATCGTTTCTCCCTCTGTCACGCACATCCAGCAACCGGAAGTGGTGCGCCGTGACATCCGTTTCGCACGTCAACTACAGCTGTCGTCTAAAGTGAAGGTACCCTTTCCCCATTCACTGTCGGTGGTGATGCGGGAAAACCCTGCCGGCTACCTCTCGCTCTTCACCCAAGGCACCGCCGACATTATAATGGATTTCTGTGATGATTTCTGGGATGGCAAGGACTTGCGTCCGCTGTCGGCGCAAGATCGAAAGAAAGCGCTTGATTTCTACCAACGCAGCGCACTTACCGCTTACTGCACGGCCTTCTCGTACCGTCCGTTGCGGCATGGCATCATTGGCGCGCTCAGCGGCGTACAGCACACCGGTGGACCGATTGCGTACCTAGAATTGCCGCCCGAGTCGAAAATACGTATGCAACATGTCGATCGCGCCCATTGCGATTTCGAGAGCGGCGGCCATATACATACGAAATTGAGCCACAGCATCAGCACTGATTCGCTGTTGTTCAGCGAGAGCAAAGACGATGACATCAACGATGTGGAGGGCTGTTTCGAAATGCAATGCCATCAGGTATTCATCGGTATGGTGACGATGCAGTATCAGGCGCAGATGGACATTGTTCAGCTGGTGGAGCGACTGGAGCGCGCTTGCATACGTTTCGTACATTTCAGCAAAGAGAACGAATTGCGCTCGCGTGTGTTCTCCGAGAAGATGGGTCTGGAGTCCGGTTGGAATTGTCATATATCGCTGTTGAATGAGGCGGATGATAAGGCCTCAATGAATACGGCTGCGGATAAGGCCAAAACTAGCGGTACGTCCGGGCGCTCGGGTAACAAAACTTTGCAGAGTAATAATGAGAATACCATCAACATTGTTGAGTCCGCACATGATCACACGACAGACATTAGCACTACCATCAACAAAAACAACAACACTGCCACAAGCACCATCAATTCAACCACCAATAACGTTTCATTGCCTCATAATGTAGAAATCATAAATCAGTGCACCAGCACGCAGAACACCACCACCACCAAAACCACCATCAACATAGGTAATCAGAACAACAATAGTAGTAATATTAGTAGCACGCATCTCACACATCAAACGCACCTAAATACATCGAATATTACAGGCGGTGCAGGTGGCACCGATAACGACGCCGACGATGAAGGCAGCGACCTGCATCATCTGCTACCGCCACCCAATCTCGAGTCTTCCAAAACGCTGAGCTCCTCAGCACCGGGCGCCATCTCCAATCCCGATGACTACCAAGCGGTGCAGCTTAGCTCAACACCACCCTCGCGTCGCAGTAGCGTCAGTTGTGGTGGTGAAGGTAACGGCAACGGCAAGGACGCGCCCTTACACCTGGTGGATGGTGGCAGCAAAGCCATTGCTGATGTCGCTGACGATGAGCACCGCCAATCGGAGGACTCTGCCATGGATGAGAATTGTCGCTCGATGAGCATCATAACAGAGAGTACCGAGCAGAGCGCACCCGTACACTTTGACATGTCGAATCGCGCTAAATTGCCACGCGGCATCGAGAATATACGTCCACATTTGGAACAGGTGGACAATGTGCCATTGCAAGTGTCGCTATTCACAGACTGTTCGCCCGAGGCGACGCGCCAAATGCTCGACATTATGCAATCGTACGGTGAGATTGTCGTATGTCTTGGCTCTTCGGCTAGCAATTCAAATGCGAATATATTTCTGCAAGCCGATTGCAGTATAGCTGTCGAGCCGCTTTATCCGCAAGTTTGTCAGGATATTGCCGCTTATACGGAGGGCAACTTAACGAACAACAAATTGCGTCTGCTGCGTCTCAAAAAGGATCTCAATGGCGAGGAGAAGTACGGCAGTCATGAACCCTATACCACCGAAGAGCTGCTCGAAAGCGGTTTCTATGGCAATGATGAGCCACAAATGCGTCCGATGCAAGCTGCCGGCAATACTGTGTCCCCCGTCTACTTAGGTCGCCTGCTCAACTCGTTGCCCTGTTCCATATCCGTGTGTCGCGATGAACCGTTATCGCTGGTGTCCATTATCGAGTTGTCTCGTCGTTTTTCGGCTGGCCTTTGGAATTGCATACAATATTGGGCTTGCTGTGCCGGTGCGCTTTCGATGATCAATATTTTGAGTGCTTGCCTCTCGTTGCCGCCACTATTGACGCCGATTATGGTGCTCTATTTGATGAGTGTGCCGGTACCGTTGATTGCGCTGGCCTTGGCGCACATCGATGTCGATCCGAAGATTATGAATCGCGCCACGGGCAAGAAGCAGACCGAGTATGATACGAAGGTATTCGGTTTTGTGATATGGTGTTACGGCTGCAAATTCTTCGCTCCCATTTTGATTATGGTAAGTACGAGTTAATGGAATTCTATTTTTGTTTTCCTTAAATATATTTACACTCTATTTACTGCTCGTGCTTTGAGTTTCCAATACAGTTTCGTTAAGTTATGTTAAGTATATTGAATGATTTACTTTTTAATTTATTTATACTTTAAAATTTAGCTTTTGCCACTAAGTTTGCAACACCACGAAAGAGGTTCTAGAAAGTTAGGTTAAATTTGTTAAATGGTCAGATTTTTCATGAGACCACGAATAATCCCATTTGGGCAGCTAGAGACGCCTGTCAGCTAAGACGCTCAGAACTCCTAACTATGGATCAAAAAGACCGTCCGATAGCGCATAGTACATAGTAGCTTCAAAGTTCACGCCGATTCGCGGGGTTCGTAAAAAGAATGACAACCGAGATGATTTAACCTTAATGTGGCGAAAGCTGAACAGGAGAAAGTGTCTAGACTATTTCATCTTCCTTGTTGCAACGTTGGAAACTAAGGTCGTCCAACCTTATTTTGTGAGTGTGAATGAAACAATGGTCAGATAGGACGGCTATCAATTCGGTGATGTGAAGTTTGCTAAGAGCTAGCAGTGCAGTGGTTCTTTAACGTTCCATACTGGTCCAGAAGGCTTTTGCAACCCCACAACTTGCTGAGCTCGCGCGAGTCCCATAAATCCAGCACTCGAAAGATGGAAGACAGGGAAATATCTGCTCACCCCCACTCTAATAGAGTTTTTTACTGTTTCCGAAAATTTCGCTATGATCAGGTATCCAGACAAGTTTAATAGGGAGTTTCTTACCACTGCTAGAGAGGTCATAAGCTCCATGACCAGCTTAGAACCAGAAGTAAACTCCGCTACCTAGTAATCCAAGGAAAGGAAAGGAGAGTTCTACTTTGCTGGATTATATGAATGAGCCTAAAGAGAATGTTCAACGGGCGGCACTCATCAGTATTTGAAGGGCACTAGGGATCACTACAACCATGACACTCGCCATCTTGCACATAATGTCTGTTGACAGCGTCGGAAGGTGAATGGCTGCGAAAGTTGCTATCAGATTCAAAGAATCTGGGTTCTTAAGAAACGCGTATCTGATACCGGATCATGGAGTCGCCAAACCGAACTCTGGTGGCTCCTTCTCTGTCCATATGCCGACGAGGGAGTTGTGGGTGGGAAGAAGCCGTTGGGGGAGAGGGGCAGTGAGTCTCTTTACGGTTATGTCAAAGCTTTGGGGGGAGGTTGGTCGAGGGATTTACTGTCAAGAGCTCTCCATTAACTCAAGTTGCAGACTTCTTGACCATTGCAATGCCTTCCAAACCGCTTTATGAGCTATCAAGAAAAAATACCCTAGAACTGCTGTCGGTAGAATGATAATGGCATCACGAAAACTTGGCCAGCGCTGAGCATAAACCTTTTCGCCCAAGATCGATCGCAAGATGGTGATCTTCTTGCCCTCTGTATGGCTACCCTCCCCCTAGTTGTGGTGCTTTTAACAGGCCATTACCCCATTAACGCCCACATAGTAAAACTGGGAATGCCACCAGATGCCATCTGCAAAAGTATGGTAGAAGATGAGGTGGAAAAAACTCAACACTTCCTTCTTGACTGTCACGCATTTGAGAGTGCAAGAGTTAGACACTTTGGAGCGCATAACTTCTTTAAGCTAATTTATAAATTCGAACACAGGAGTTCTTCTTTTCTATGGCTTCACTATATATAGCAGTCCAGGTGTGATCTTTGACCAGCCACCTGACCTAACCCACCCTAAAGAAATTGTTGTGAAATTACGAACTTGTCCCCATTACAAGGAAGAAAGCTAGAAAGCTATGCACGGAAAATCACTTTCTGGAACTATGTTCTTATTAGCCTAATATTATTTCATTTCCTCAACAGATTTTCGCCTATTGCACATTTATGGCGCATCCTATCGAACTCATGGACATTGACGAGGAAAAATTGCATATCAACTTGCAAATCGCACGTATCTTCTCGTTTCTCGGCATCTTAGTACATTTCGGTAAGCACATTTAGCATATTTACTAGATACACTACTCATAGAAGCATTTTCACCTTGTAGTGGTGATTTCCGCCTGCTTCGTGCACCGCGATCACTCGCTGTGGCAGCGCAATCCCTTCCGCAATCACATCTGGGCTTTCACCTGTGGCAGCACGCTGCTCGTGCACATCGTTATCTGTGCGGTGCAGATTGTTTTGCAGGACAACTACTTCGATGAGGCATGCGGCATGTGGCCGGCGATCGCCTTTCTCTACGGTGGCAGTCTTATAAGTCTGGCGATCACGGAGATTTGCAAATGGCAGGAGATTAAGTAAGTTTCTTAAATTGAATTTATTTTTATTTTTTCTTATATTTTATTTATGTTTGTGCTTTTACAGAGTTAACACACGTTATCAGCGCCGCGCTAGGCTTGATTTTGGCACCAAGCTGGGCATGAATTCACCGTTTTAAACACATACAACCCCAACTATAATTACAATTGCGACTGAACAAGTAAGCGTTGAGTATTGGTAAACAATCTAAAGAGACTAATTCGAAATCAAAGAAACAAAAATAAGAAAACGTTGCAAAATGCGCAATAAAAATACCCTAATCTACCTACTAAAAAGGCAAAATAAAAACATATTTAAATAATAAACGATAAGCAATTCAAGACGTAGTGCCAAAGTTGCTATAAAACTTAATACAAAGCAAGGAAATTACAAAAACCGAAAACAATTAAGATTAAACGTAAATTTGTATGTAAGTACTTGTACGCCGTAAGTTGAAAGTGAAATGTGAATGCGTCGCCGACACTGCCTATTATTTAAATATATTCCAACTTTTGGAGCAATAAGCTAGCAATCTCGAAAACGGCACCGAAAATAACGGTTATTTTGAGTTTTTCCTTTTTAAAATCGTTTTGAAGATTTTGTTCAAAGCAAATATTAACCGCTATAGCGAGTTATAGAAAGAATGCTGTAAAATTATTTTTGTTTTGTGGTTTTTTTTCGGAAATTTGAATTACGGTATGTTATCAAAATTTAAAAAATATCATAACTTCAAAGCACAAAATATCAATTATAATTTATCTAAAAATCAAGCTTTAAATTATCAATAATATAAATTAAAAAAATTAATCGAAAAAATCCAACCCTAAGAAACGATTAAATCGTATTTTTTTCTGAACAAAAAAATAACTGTTACGGTCCTGTAATAATATAATAGCTGGCAGATTGAAAATATACGTACATGTGTATGTAAAGATTCTCTGAAGTCACGGCGCTAACCTGGTACTCATCAATGACCGTGTGCTGTGCCATTAAGAAAATCGAGTTCACCTTTTGCTCTCAATAAAAAAAAACGCATTTCCTTAAAATTTTTGACTGTTTCTCGCTCGCATTGACATTCAGATTCACGGCATATTAAGTAAAACATCGTAGCTTCTAAGTAAACAGTTTTTAGTGTGCTGTTACGGCAATTAAGTACATGTGTACACTTTTTTATGAACCGTTGTGTTTTATGTTCATATTTTTGTATTTTATTGTATATATTTAACGCATTTTTCATATATTTAACAAAACAAAAAGTGTTAACAAATTTTTTCATTTACTAACAAATACAGTTATGTAGAATTTATTATGTTTGATGTATGCGAAAATAGAAAATATCGCAAAAGACGACTTAAACAAACAAAACGTATAGTAATATTTATATTTACAATATTTAAATATATATTTTTTTTAATACTGCGACCGAATTTTTTAATTTTTTTTTTT